CAGCCTGGCTCTGCCTCCCACCAGGAGCCCCCTTTGTCCCCACTGCTGGGAAAAAGAGGGGACAACCCCAGGACAGGCCCTGAGCAGGATCTCAGGTTTGGGCAGGATCTCAGGTTTGGGCTCTGAGTTGGATCTCAGGTTTGGGCAGGATCTCAGGTTTAGGCTCTGAGCTGGATCTCAGGTTTGGGAGGGATCTCAGGTTTGGGCAGGACCTCATATTTGGGTGTGATCTCAGCTTTGGGCATTGAGCTGCATCTCAAGTTTGGGCAGGGCCTCAGGTTTGGGTGCTGAGCAGGATCTCAGGTTTGGGCACTGAGTGGGATCTTTGGGTTTAGGTGGGATCTCAGGTCTGGGCAGGATCTCACATTTGGGTGGGATCTCAGGTTTTGGGCAGGGTTTGGGCACTGAGCAGGATCTGAGATTCTGGAAGGATCTGAAGTTTAGGCACTGAGCAGGATCTCAGGTTTGGGCAGGACCTCAGGTTTTGGGCACTGAGTGGGATCTCGCGTTTAGGTGGGATCTCAGGTTTGGGCACTGAGTGGGATCTCGAGTTTAGGTGGGATCTCAGGTTTGGGTGGGATCTCAGGTTTGGGCAGGGGCTCAGGTTTAGGCACTGAGCGGGATCTGAACTTGAGCAGGATCCCAGATTTGATCCCTGGACAGAGTTTGGGGGCACTCGGGTCCATCTCAACCCCGAGCACTCAGGTGACGCTCTGTCCCCCAGTCCCATGCCTGATGCCACCCCGAGCTGTCCCCAGCCCCACCAGGCGTGTCCAGGCCGTTCCTTAGCTCTGCCTTTATTGTCACATGGTGGCACGAGGCACGGAGAACACCCAAACACCCGCACACCACGCCTGACATCACCACAAACACAGACACGGAGCTGTCCTGGCAGCTGGGGACACAAACGCCAGGGGGGACGACAAAGCCTTGGAGGCTCCCTGGAGGCCACAGGGATGGAGCAGCCGGTGAGGTGGGGCTGGGAAGGAAACCATGGCCAGGAGTGCAGGTGGAGGGTCTGGGCTGGACCATGGGGGACCCCCCGAGCTTGGGGGGCTTTGTGGGGGAGCCACGGGCAGAGCTCACACAGTGGCAGCCCCTCAGGAGCTCCTCTGGAGGCGCAGGGCGTTGTCCAGGGCCACCAGCTGGCGCAGGAAGCCGCGGTTGGGGATGATGCCGCGGTGGTCCTTGACCGTCTTTATGGCTTCCACCAGGGGCATGTGGTGGCGGATCATGAGGTAGGCGAGGACCAGGGTGGCCGACCTGCTGACCCCGACAGCACAGTGCACGAGGATCCTCCCTGCGGGGACACGGTGGCTGAGTC